TTGGTTACTTTGCCTAAACGAATGGAAGGCAGAACGGGAATATATCTTAGGTCTAAGAAGAAGCAAACGATGATCACTGGTTGATACGGGTGCACACAGATGGAGAGAGAAGAATTCCGGGTGATTTGTTATAATTCTGTCTAAAACGGAGTTACCTCTGGTCGGTGATACGCATAAATCCGTTAGATCAAAAGCAGTGAGAGGCCGGGTTGAAGCATGGTTAAAATCACCTACAATAATGTGCAGGTTGTCCTGAAGCAGTGGTACAAGAAAAGGTAAAAATGAGTCCAATAATGTCGAGATGGAGCAATGTATAGGTTCGTTATGAAGGTACTTGTACTATGTCGGGAGAATTTAGGGTAACACTGAAGAGATAAACAATCAATACCGTTACTTGAGTATGAGTAAACGTCATCTGACTTGCCACGAAGTGTTGACGTAGGTAACCACACCACCACCGGATTTCTTGCCACATGATTCCGTCCTGCCGGTGCAGGTTAAATCCGTCAATGGACACTAATGCGTCAGCAACACGAGGGTTCAGCCAAGATTCTTGTATGCAAATCAGACAAGTATGAACGTGAATCCGGGAACGAAGAACAAGTGATAAATCAGAGGTTTTCCTGAACAATGAACGTATGTTCGTAGTCAGTAGTATTGGGATGGACATTTTTGACGGAGGAGTGCAGTTAAGAGCAACTTGCCATCCGGCTCGGTTGTGCTTTTTGTGTGAATTCCGAAATCCGAGAGAATTGAGTGTGGTTGAATCAAATCGCGATGCGAATCCGTTAGAGTGGTTGAGTAGAAGTAATTCCGATCTGGTATATCGACGAACAAAGACCATAGCAATGACAAAAAATCCTTCAAATTTGATGAGATGCGATAACACGAGATTGTAGCGCAGCCAGTCAAAGGGCGCGTGATCGATCTTTGGCCACAGTAGTTGAATGGTATGGGACATTCTCTTTCGTGCACATACAATCGAGTGTGAACAAACGAATACTAATCGCTTCCACAGTGGCTGTATTGTTTAGATGCAACAACTTGAATGGGTAAGCTTTTACTCGATGGATGACTTTGAAAGGTGAATCGTATTTCACTTGGGCTGACCTGAGTCTGCTAGGTGAGCGGGAATAGCGTTTCCCGTGACAGCTTCTCGACCGTGTTGAGGCCAGCGTAGACAGTGCTCTTGAATCCGATGGAACAGTTGCCTCGTCGTTCGACGAATGTAGATTGCGCCGGTTCACATGACCATGACCTAATACAAAAAGCCGGTCAATTCTGAGTGCTCTCGAATACATTACCACACACAAACACACACACATGATTCATCCACTTTTTCGTTTGACTCTGCTTAATTTTGTTTCACATATAAGAGATTGTGAAAGGCTTACCGAAAACATGTTCGTTCCGTGGTCAAAATGAATGACCACCTGCCACGTGGTAAGTTTTCTATAACTGATTTACCTTTCAGATGTAGAGGATCAAGGACCGGTAAACGCTGTTTCTTCTCAAGCAAATCCAGTTTACTCTGACGTTGCGCGGGAGTTTCATTCACAGATGAAACCACACTACCGGTCACGTTCTGCGTGGATGATTCATGATGAATATCTGAGACGAAATTGTCAGCGAGAGAAGTGCTCGAAGCTCGCGTACCACTATCGGCGATTTGGCGCGTTCGTAGCGCAGTGATGGGTGGAGAGGAGTCTACGTCAGCAACCAGTGGACTGGGAAGGAGGGGGCTGGCTGTATCTGTTTTAAGTGCACCTATGAGACGAAATCGAGTAGAAAATTAAGCTCAATGAATAAATGTTCGAATTAAAACAAGTAAAATGGTTCAGAACTCACAGAAAGAACTGATAATATTAACATGTTAGTACACGAAGGGGTGCTGAAGGTGTAAAACAAACAACTGTAAAGAAATTGCTGAAAATCGACAACACGTCAGGATGATGGTGACTAAGCCTTTTAATCAGCCATCATTAGCAGAGATCTGAGATTGAAACCCTTCCAACATGACCAAACTTAGTGGTAGGTATGCTTAGTGTCCTGTGACATGATCAATCCTCGTGTGGTCAACTACGTCAGATCCCAGGATTGATGTTACCAGTTTCCACAAGTGATTATTAGATTGTTCCAGTTATAGTATCGGACCATTATTCTGTTGAGTAAAATATGAAATTAAACATAATAATACAGGATAATTTCGAACTAGAAACAGCTCATCAAAAAGAACCGAGTGACCTTAGCTTTACGCACAATCAATCTTAGACTGGATTTCATTGAGAGAGATAAACGAATGAAGATAGACTATTATTCATTTCGCAGTATGCAGATAAAATTCTCAAAGGATTAGACGGGGAATTTCGCCTTGTTCAGCGGAGTTGAAGTACCCGAAATCACTTCGTGAATGCCATTGACCCCAACTTCTCTTTCATGTATCGAGTCTCCTGAGGAATTTCACTCCCGCGGCTAGTCATCGCAAATTGATGATTTTCTAACTGCGTCACCCGTGCTCGGATCGCAGGCCGATGAAAAAATGTCGCACTTCAAACTATGACCGCTTGATCAAGGGTCACCACCCGCTCTGGTAAATCTTGAATGAATTTTGTCAACTAATCGTTAATCAATAAAATCTCTAAGCCAGGCTTTAGTCTCATGTATCTTTTCCGAACAGATGTGTATCCTTATACACGTTTTATCACAAATATATATATATATATATGCATGATGCTAATACAGCCAAAATGAGCAAGAAAAGAGAGGAAGCAAAATAAAACACGATTACAAAAAACAACAACGTTTTTATAAAACTTTTTTTATGTATATGACTTTACACGGGCTTTTAACAAACATACCATACAGCTTTCATACAGCTATCTTCAATTCTGAGCCTTATCTCTCAGTGCTCCTAACTAACTGAAATCCTCCTGACTTGAACCGCAACCTGAAAGGCGGACTACACCAACATAAGCTAATGTTGAAGCTAACTGCTTTTTACTCTTATACCACGTCATGATCCGACCGCCGCGGGGCTTCTTTCAGTTTTGCCCAGCACTTGTAAAGAGAGCACGAAGAGGTAGATGAGGAGCAGGCATAAGCCAAACATAATAAAGCCATCTGAGGCAGAGCGGAGTGGTTTCTTATTTTAGAGAAAGACAGTCAACAACCAATATATGACAACAAGCTTATTCACTGCCCACTCGATGTCCCAGCGGATACGAACAATGGTTCGAAGACATTGACGGGCGAAAATAGAAAGCCGATTAGCATCCTCGGTGAAGAAAGGCTAAACCTGGCAAACGTAACGCAACACAGTAGGAACAACCTTGATGGAATATCGAATGCCATTACGGTGCCACAGACTAGGCTAGCTTTTCTAAAATTGGACGATTCTCACCCCGACACTACCACCAGTTCTGATCAAGCTCAAGAGGTACTTGAATTATTCAACTATTTCCAGCATATCAGCACAAAAAGTGAACAGGCTACGGTCGGTTTCATACAATCACTTTTCACTGGGATAGTGACAAGCGCACACCACGTCTAGAAGCTTCGATCGTAAAGAGGTGGAAAAAGTCTGTCAACCAGAAAGGCAATGCCATCGGCATAGCTAAAATAAAAAAACCTGGAGCACTAGAGCATATTTAACTGAACCTTTTCCTAGACCGGAAAAAACATTCTGTCGAACATCCTTCATAAGAAAGTTGAAAATGAGTGCGGATATAAGGTGATCATGTTGCGCTCTACTGGTAATTGCAGTGGTATAAACTAGCCCCAGCTACTAACACAACCTATGCTATGATGATACAATTCTTGGAAGGTTGACGCATACTTCGCGGGTACTCCATTCCTAAAAAATACACCTCCATGGCGCGGTCCCATTGATGGGGTGGAAGGCCACATGAATGACTAAAAGCGTTGGACTCAGGTAAACATGACAGTGATGTGGAAACTGTTGGTGGATGAAGTTTGAGGTTGAGACAAAATATGGCAACTTATCAGCTAGAAAACTTGGACAAATCAGTACGGTTTGCAAGAGGTCAATGAGATTCATGCAAGATACACGCAAGCTCAAACACGCACACCCACTCACATTGTGGGAAATCGCTGCAACGAACACTTTCAGTTTATATAACCATTAACCATGCACTTTCGTGAGCCGGTTTTGGTTGCTATCTTTCGCCTGCCCGTTTGGATGAACATGAGAGAAAGACAGGAAACGTGGAAAGTAGGATCAAAGAGAAAATTTAGAATTTCAGTGGGCTAATGTTGCAGAAAAAATTGACAAAATCCAAGAACACCACTATTTACGACACAGTCATATCACGCAGTTTCTTTAACCAAGGGTTACGATCATCCCGAGGTACCCGTCCAGGGAAAATAACGGGACCTGTGACCCAATCTCCTGGTTAGCGTTTTGAACTCACGTGCCATGTCTTAGTCCAACCGCCTTTGGCTTTATTCCACCCTCTACCCGTCTCGGCAAACATCGCTCACCGTGGTAACCTATTTGATGACATGCGTAACACATGCCCCAATTAACGTATTCTGTGGAGGTCGACCACCTGCTCCAGTGGACGGCCGCGTCTACCTAAAACTTTTCGCCTGACCCCAGCATTGCTCGTCCGGCTGCCGCACCAGATTCGTGCAATGCTACGTAGACAGCGGTGTGCAGATACCGACAGTTTATCTCTATCTTGCTTCTTTATTGGCGAAGTTTCTGTGCCGTATGGCAGAAATGGTCGGACTGCCGCAGCATACACTCAACCCTTAACAGACAGCCGGAAGTAGCGACGGCGCCACAGATGTTTCAAGTTGGCAAATACCAACCGGACCGACAATGAACATCGAACAAGTAAATAGCTCACCCTGAGATTTGACTGCAGATTCGGACGCGGCATTTACTGAACGATTCGATCTGGATGGATTGACGAGATCAGAAGACCCCAGGTCTGTTGGTGACGTGATCGAGTTTGCGGTGAGGGAAACATTAGAAACAGCAGAACTCGTGCGACAGTGACCATAAGACAAAAGGTCATTTGACGACAACCCTGCATCAGGTGTAGATGATTTCTGGCCTTTAGACGGTGGATGTGGACTGATCATTCCAATTGGACCGGGTGGTAAAGTTTTCTTTCGGGTCTCTTTTGCCGACTTTTCAGCTCGTTTAGCCAGTGATTCAAACTCGACACAACTGAAATTTAGAATCAAACAATGAATACTCTATAGTTGTGAGGCTCCAGTAGACGAATGTGTGTGTGTGTTGGCTTCCGTCTCATGTAGGATAGCACAGACGATAGAGAAAACAACCGATTCTCTACGATATACAACGAAAAAGAAATAATCCCAAGAAAATCTGGTTGGTTGTTACGAAACACTTGTCGGTTCCTTTTCATTCGTCAGTAGCATATACGTTTTGATATCAGGAGTCGAATCATCAATTTTTACCCATACCGATGAATAATAACGTAGGTAACTTTCAAACCGTTTTACAGGCATCGACAAGCTACGCAATATAATCCTAATTTCATTTGTCACTAAAGTGATCTAATCGGACAGGCCCTCGTTCGCCATTCTTCGTCTTCTCTCCCCCCCCCCCCCCAAACACCATGTTTTGTTAGGGAACACTATCAAATTATCCTGATTTGGGATTTATGAAATTGAACAGAACAGCTAATGTCATCCAATCATCATTTGGATCAGCCAAAAGAAATCCACATGGATACCGAAACTCTATGTATCGAAATGAACATTCTAAACCGAAGGTAGCGAACGTACTGCGACACCATTTGTGCTTATTTGTTTGGGGTCGGGTGAGCTGCCTTACACAAATCATACGACACCACAGGATCGAAGTACGCCCACGAACAGGACTTGACGAACGATATCAATTACATACAGGAAGCGCGTGAGGGCCAATAACTGATGATTGGCTTCATATATGCCAAGGAGATCGTAATGGTTCGTTCTCCAACCAAATTGAGTGGTTCCCAAATTCACTTTATAATTCCTCATTTCAATTCAAATTAATCTTGAAAAGGAACCGAAGTCTCCGATCACACATGATTTGATCTCATGACCAACAAAAGGCACTGAACATCTCTTTCATCCATTTTGGGACCAGTCAGCAATGCGTACTTTTTGTGTCCCCACCGAGACTCGAATTGCGAATTTTCGGGTTATCAGTAGAAACACGGGGATCTACAGTCGATCGTCAACAATCCGAGCGAATGGAATGATCAACTTAAAGCACTCTGTTTGGTTTATCCCATTCGATCAACTAAAAAGACCAGAATAATGGCGGATCAAATAGGTTAAAATGTACAGAATAATATAAGGTGATTTAATTCATTCTATCCTCGGCTTTCTCCGGTTCACTTTATTCAACAATGATTCACGTTCACAGTGCCAATGCATCCGCCCACACAATTCGAGTCGATTGGCCTTTCTCTCTCTCACGCGCGCGCGCGCGCGTGAGTCTGTTGATCACACTTTAAACATTGCGATTGATACCCTAAATAATATACTATTGGTCCAGTTACATTACTTATTCAATAAACTTTGCCCCACCACGCTTGACCATTGTGAACCGACCGATTCGGTGAAGTGATACGTGCATCATACATCCAGTCGATAATCTTGTGATGTTATGCAATCTCGAGTACCGAGTGTAGATGCTCATTCTTTGGACTTTATACTCGTGTACAACAGTCAATGTATCATGCACTCAGACAGTTAGTAACAACTGGGAGTTAGAATGTGCATTCGAATCTAAAGCTGGAGACAATCATCGGAATATAATTCCAACGAGCAGTTTAGAGACAATATTGATTAAACTAATTCGGTTGTGATTTTCACAAGATCTGTCGTCTTGTCTGTGAGTAAAATGATCGCCTTGTATCATTCAGGTGGGACCAGATCAGTTTCCAAAACTGAAAACAGGAGTTTCGTCCATTAAAAACAATGGGGACAGTCCGTCCGGGTCGGAGACCTTCTAATTACACTTCAGGAGAACGGATATCGACTGGCAGTAGTTGCTTGGTTGAGGCAGGAGGTGGGAAGTCTAATGGTGATGGAGGGAAATTGAATTTTACCTTATCCATTCATCCATCGCTCAAAAAGGTATTCATAAAGGTGAATTAGTGTGTCGTCGGCCTTTTTATTACCACACTAGTTTCCGTAGTTCCATACTCGTTTTGACGATCATTCCTCTGGCTTTTGATGAGATGGCGTCTGAGGGTTTTGCATGCTGTTTCATAGCCGCCATCTGGAGGAAGACCTCCACGGTCGTCCATCAAAGCAACCGAGGCTGAGGACATCCATCTTTTGTGCTTTGGTCGTGTGGTAGAATCCATTGTTGTTTTGATCGAAATTTGGATAGCTCCTCCGATTAGGTTCCGTTGTTCATTGAGTCATTAGACCGGTTGTTGAAATGAGGGGCCGAAGTGCAACTACCGCTTACACTATGCATTGTACACTTCCGCTTCTGGCGGCTTTGTTGTGGTTATTTATTTGGCTTGTAACACAGAATAGTCCGCATCCACGGATGTTGACCAACGAGAGCTTCAGTCGCGTTTGTAGTATACCGGTACGAATTTGACTAATCTTGGTCGGTTTTAGAATAAGCACTCTCCCGGACTATTTTGAGTGAGCAAACTGGTTTTCCAAATACGGCATCTACTCAACCAGATTCGACTTCCACTAGATTTACCGGGTGACGGGAAAACGCTCAAACTCGCTTCCAGTAACCTAGATAGCAAACTTCCGGGGTTGTGAACATCGACAGGAGTTTCATGACCATATATATTAGCAACTGAATTGAGAAATAAACCTGTATTAATCTATTATAACAATTCAGTATTTCGATAACGCTTTACGAGAAAATTTCCAACGGAAAAAAAGTAGGCAAGAATTACCGACTGTTCCAATCCGTAACGAAGCCATAAATCCAACGCTTCAGTTCGTTAATCAAAGTCTGAGCCAAATTTGAGCGTTCGACTGAAACAGGATCCAAACAGCAGAGAATCACAGCTCAAATTATGATCAGAGAGAAACGTCGGGGAGAGAGAACTCATTTAACGGAAAAAATGATCACAACCCCAAAATTCTCTGCCAGTTTTGTGAGGATGAGAGATAGAATCAGTGGTCAAATTCCAGTCGATCACATGACCAAATCTAACAGTGCACGAACAGTAAACAACAGTCCACTAATAAGCAAAAACATGTGACGCTGGATATATCAAATGAATGAACTTGTCAGTGTGTAGGCCTCATTAGCAATATAAATGTAAAATGCCACGACTTCCTCATACACCAGGGAATAACGATATCGTTAGCGGAAATTGGGCAAAACAACACGCACTCGCAATTCATGAAGAATTCACACGAACATTCCCGTGGAAAGTGAAACCCAAATCGTTGTCTGTCCAGCGATAGATGACACCAATTCAAATCCCTTGAACGCTTTATTTCTGCCGATTAAAGTGATCTTACCATGTAGAATAAACAGTTTTAAAATTAGAAGGCCGAACTTTTGTATTTGACACTAAAAACTCTTCCATTCGAGTGTTTCGCGCCACTGGAATTCACGAGCCTTTATTATTTAACATGGCTGGTTGTCCGAGGATTTTATCTTAATTGAACGCTTTTTAGGAAAAGCATTTCCCGATGTGGATGTGCATTGTGGAAGCACTGTTAAACCACATTGTCACTCAATGTCACACGGTTTGTGATCGTCTATGTGACTCATTTCCGGCTGACATTTCACATTCCATGCATTCAACTCGTTTTCTTTCTCACCCTCGCTCATCCAATGTCTACTGTTTGCTGCTCGTATTGAATTTCAACCATTACATACTCGTGCAAACAGCTTTTCAAAAAATAACCAGCAGTGTTCTGTCGGTTATAAAAAAAGCAGTCATCCGAAACAAAATCTCGCGTACGACGATGAACCGTCGGCAAAACAAACCTGTATCCAGTCCGGCAACAAGGCTGTGCCAATCATCGGATAGTTCATTCACTGCCCCCGTTGTTGCATGAATAGATCGATTCAGATCTTTCACACGCAAAATCGGAGACTGGAACACAGTGGTCGTGCTGATCTCTTCCGTCAACAATGGTCGTTGGACAATACCAGCGGTTAGGGAGAATAAAGGTATTGCATCTGAGGAATCCGGTTCTTCAGTGAACGAATGTTTATGCCTCGAAACATCCGCGGTCAGTTGGACAAACGAAGATGTGGAATGAATACGGCTAACTGGCTTATCACTTGAGGTACCGACTGTTGATGCTGAGGTCGTACGCCCCTTTCCGTCCGGATGAAACAGATAGTACAATAGTTCCGCACGCACATCCATGTACGATTTACGCGAGTCAGACTGCAAGAGTGCAGAGAGAAAACATACGGTTGGTGACATAAGAATTATGAATATGTGGATTTCTTTGATAGCATATTCAAAACACAAATGGTCTTTGGAAATCATGTGGAGTTGTTGCAGCTCGGGATGCGGATGTTTTTGCACGGATGATGTTACCTAGCCTGGCTACGAAACGTCTGCGAACAACATTTCCACCTGGAGGAGCACACCAACACCAACACAATCGTCTTTATCCGTTTTTCCATCACACATCATTGTATGAGGAATAAGAGTGGTAGGTATCGTAAACAAAAATGTATACTTTTCGCTTATGGAAACCGCGAACTTGAACTTTAGGACTTGGTTGGTCGCATNAAAGATTCAACAGGATAGACGTGGTGTGGAGCCGGACGACAGTACATCTGCCTACGATTACAGTTTGGCGGGGATGGTACGCTTTTGGCCTTGCAGCATGTCCATGAAGGCATCTTAAGCCATCACCACGTATGCAATTGCTGTATATCCAATGAAGGATGAACAGAATAACTTAAATACCAGAGTACTCTCAAACTAGATGAGGAAAAGAAAGTATGAACAAATAAAGGAGTTCCATACAGAGGGGAATAATCCAAAACAAAACTATTTACCAATACTTGAAAGAATTGAAAAGTGGTCTCTAGAGCAATTACTTTGGGTTAGTAACACATCACTGATGACAACTGCATGGGGATTAAGATTCATTAGGCACTATATATATATATA